TTGTGAGAAAATCACCATCAAAGGCTTGTTTTATGGCCAGCAGCTGTTTGCTTTCAGTACAGGAGTCAAAATAACCGCACAGAGTAATTTGCTCCTGTTTTCCTCCTGATTATAAACCTGTCATTCCGTTGTTGATGTCTTGATACACTTGATAAAATATTTTCACTTTAAACTACGAAAAAACCCTAAAAGATAATAAATATAGCTAAAAGTTTGCATGTAAAAAAAAAATCATTCATAGCTAAACTTCGTGCTGTCAGGCCTTACTAAAAGCTCTTTTGGAATTTAAGGCGAACTTATCTAAATTTTTCCCCTCATTTGGATAAGAGGAAAAAGGTAATTAGACAGAAAGTATTTAGGCTTCTAAAAGCGTCGGAAAGGCGTCTGCAGGAGCAGTAATGGGCCTTATACTCAGCATACTTTCATGCTATTGTTCTCTGAAAACTACTTTCCACGTTCCAGTTGGAAACATCCGCTCCAACTCACATGTTCAACCACACAGTGCATGGTTTACTGCACCGACACCTTCAGCGCATGACACCAAACACAAGCTTTGTCAGTGTCTCTGCACATACTCACCTGTCTGTTTTCATCAACTTTATGAAAACACAAACACACCTGGAGACGGGCCGACAGCCACATTTCCACACTTCTCATCTCACACACCTGATACAGTAGCTCTATTAGCAGTCAGCACACAGCAAAGAGAGCAGTCATCCACCACTGACTCACAGCCCCAGTTTGACCGCTGAGTGAGGCTCTCGTGGGAAGGACTGACTTTGCTTTTCACACTCATGTGGCAGCATCAAACATATGAGAGAACAGATGGAGGGAATGACTGATGGGTGGAAAGATGAAGATGGTTGAATGGTGAGAGAGAAGAAAACAAAATCACCCAGAAAAGCGAATAAAAGCCACTATCTGTGTGGTTAGGGCATTGTTCCTAGACAAGTACTGGCAAAACAATGTTTATAAAGCTTTTGTTCAGAGAATTTCATCAATGTGAAAAATTTACTAAACTGTACACATCCAAAAAAGTTTATATTAAACACAAAACTGGGACTGTGTGTGTGTGTATGTGTGTGTGTGTGTGTGTGTGTGTGTGTGTGTGTAGGGGGGGTGTTCCATTAGGCTGTGTGCATGTTACTTTTCCAAGCGTTCTGGGAATCCTGTTGGAGAATATAGCATCATGGACCAAAATACCAGGACATTCAACAGAAAAAAAAAAAAAAAAGAATTTGTCTGTCGATACGCTGAAGACCATCTATTCATCCTATGGTTGGGGAAGTTAGGGTCTATGGCTGGTCAGGCCAATTTGCGCACGGAAAAGTCTTGGGCAGTGCGAACAGGGAATGGTGGCGTCTGATGCATTCAACAAGAATACAGTGGACTCTACCGGTAAACTGACTTTGGGTTTTCAGGTCTTTAAGCCTGAAAAAGTAATTCCAGCGTGCCAAACAAAAAAATAGACAAATTGAGTCGGTTGAGTCCAACTGACTTAAAAGCAGTGGTGTAAAATCTACACACATTTGTCACTTAAAGGGGAACACTAGTTTTTTTTTTTTTACATTAGGCCCTTGATTTTACGTTATTACATCATGTTCTACTCACGCATATGAGTTTTGTAAAATTTGGAGCTGTCCCGATGTTATTCGGTTTTGTTATATCCAAGTAACATCTTCCAATCAGCAACGAGTTGAAGGCACAAACTAAACTGTTCATACTTTATTCTGACACAAAACTAATATGGGTGAGTAGAACATGATGTAATAACGTAAAATCAAGGGGCCAATGTAAAAAAAGGTGTTCCCCTTTAAGTAGAAGTATAGATACTGCCATATAAAAATACTCTGGTAAAAGTTTAAGTATCAACTTCAACTCTTTACTCAAGTAAAAGTGAAAAAGTATGTGCTCCAAAAACTACTCAAAGTCTAAAAGTATAAAGTAACTTTAAAAAAAAAACTGCCAGATGTCACTATATGAATTGAAAGCTCATATTTTTCGACTATTTCTAAAAATTCTTTGAGATACAGTAGGGCCAAGGATGAGGGGGGTCTTGTTGGTCTCCGTCTCCATCTCTCGATACGATCTCGCCTGTATCCGACCTTTCAGACATTTCAACATCTTTTTCTGAATCCTACATTGTAGCATGTCATAGATTTGCAGGTTGAAGGACACCTGCTTGCTTCTAATGATTTCCTTTAGCTAACCAATGAGTGTTTGCGTTATATGACTCATCCAATTACACTAGTTTTCACTAGATGTGAATGGCGCCAATGATCTGCATTGGATGGAGCACATGACGAGAAATAAATATTTATTAACATTAAACAGAAGCCAAGAGTAACAAGTAACGTTTGTTTTAAAAATTTAAGGAATAGAAAGTACAGATACTTGTGTGAAAATGTAATGAGTAGAAGTCAGAAGTAGGAAGGAAAGTAAGTAATGAAGTATAGATACCTAAAAAGTGTACTTAAGTACAGTAATGAAGTATTTATACTTCGTACTTGATGCCTCTGCTGAAAACCAACTGTCATTCTCAGGCCTAAATCCATTTACATGAGGCTGAATTGGAGGAAAGAGAGCATAAAAGATGGCAAACACATTTAGGCAATCGAGAGAAATTCTGTGATATTTTGCCACTGCTCCTAACTGCCTTCTTGAACAGATTGGATTCAAATACTTTGAATCCGAATGAAAATAAATACCTTTAATTTGTCATTTTAACGAAGAGATACAAGGTCCAACCCTAAATATTGTCAAAGATATTATGGCACAAATCATATTTACCTTCATGGGAGCCTTTCAGCTGCTTGAAACATGTTTTTATTGCCCTTAAATCATACAGATCTCCAGGCCAATAAAGCAGAATATCATAGAGACCAAACGGACCTCAGAGAGTAAAAACAAAGGCCCCAGCAGAATGAAACAGCCATAAAGAATATCACATGACAGCCAGATGAGGCTGCACCTCGGTGCCATCATCTCTGTTTTAGTGAAAGCTGAGACTCAGGTGGTGTTTGTGTGTGAACATGATTTAAGGCAGCATGAAACTGACAGCAGAGACACAAACTGTGTGATTTATGACTAAGTTATCATGAAAAACCTGCTGCTTTTATATTAACGTCTCCGAAGACAAATGTTTATTCTTTGAAGGAAGATATAATGGGTTAAACACATGTAGCACAACATGCACTGTGTGCTGGATTCAGTTCATTTCCATGGATCCTAATGAGTCTCATGGTGTGAAAAGCTTTAGCAAAAATATATGATGGATTAAAAGTATCTGATTGATTAGTTATAGTTTTTAAGTACACTTCTATTATATGTATATTATTATACTTATTATAAATTTTTTTGTGGATCTATAAAATCTAAAACATTCCTCGTGTCCACATATCTAGGAAATAACAGTATTTTATATATAAAAAACAGAGTATATTTTTGTTTAATAAATTTAAGAAAAAAAGTGATGTGTGTATTTTTTTTTACTTTCAAATATTGTTTTTTTTTTCTGCAATCAGAGTGGAACCATTTTTTCTCAAAAATAGATTTATAAATGTTTGTTTATCTTTTATCTGAGACAAAATAGTCACAAAATAGTTTCTCTCAAAACTTTTGCTTATCAGTTTTTGCTGTCAGTGTAAAAATTTGTTCCCTATAATAAATTTATTATACTTTCAAAACATTCAGAACATTTTTTTTATTCAATAAAAACAAAAATAACTCTATAAATAACAAAACAGTTATCTCTGTTCTAAGCATTTGACCGGTACATTGTAAAAAGAAAATGCTGCTGCAATTTAAATGAATTTCTTTAATAATTTGAAACAAGTTGAGCAGAATTGAGCACAGAGATGTGCAAAAAATATCCTTAACCCAGGATTTGCCTGGAAACTGAATTTTAGCTGTATTTGTGTGTTGAAAAACACATGAGCATCAATCCTGTACCGCTCCAGCTTAAATCATTGGAGACTGACAGAAATTTGGCGTGGCCAATCACGCCGCATTTATGGTTTTAGGTGGAACATAAAGCTGTGACAAAAGCAGAGCCTGCTAAAAGCCAACAGCCAAACTATAATAAACTTGGCAGCACAGATGCTGCTTTCACATCTGCTCTGTCAGAACACCCAACTTTATCTTTGTAAGAGGAACAACATTTGTTTGTTGCTGTGATTGGCTGAAACTTTCCCCAAACCTAACCCAATCAGCTAGAAAGGTTCTGCTGAAAGTCCATCCTTTCCCTGAATAGATTTGATAGGAGCAATCTCAAATCAATCATGTGTAGAACTTGTGAGTGCTACACTTTATCCATTTCGCTTGCTAAATAACGGAACCTGTTTTAATGAGATACCGTCTGTCCTAAAAGCTGACATATTTTTAAAAACGTACAGTTTTAAATCTCTTTTAAAAATCTAAAAAAACATTATTTCCTATACTTTATAATCCTTCAAATCAGTTCTCTGAAAGTGCACTGCTGTTCAGCTGACTGGAATATGGACTCTATTCTTTTTTTCCCGCTCACAAAACAAACAATTATTATGTATATTGCCATTTGAAGAAGATAGAGAGTATTATGTGGAGGAAACATAAAAAATGCCACTCAAAAAAAAAGTAAAAAAAAAAAGGTTAATTGTTGTATTTAGGGAGATATGTGTGTTTAATTATTTAAAATGAGGGAAATGACTCCAGGAGTTTTTTTATGGATAGTTGTGTTTAGCCAATGCACTGTGTTTATGTAGTTCTATAGTTTAAGATCAGCTCTGCAACTTATCAGTGTGTTCAGAGCACAATGTGAGGTTAGGACCTTTGTGTTAGTCTGAGGAGTTTTTTTTTTATTAGTACGAAGCGAGCAGAGTTCAGTAAATTAAAATGGGACGCTCCATTAAAGTGAATCTACGAATTAAACCCTTATTACAACACACCAAGACAGTGGTGATAAAAATGTGAAACTCTATCACTATAGTGAATTCAATGTCAGCAGCAAAGGTTTGTCCTACCTTAACATAGTCGACTGCAGCATCCAGAGCAGCTACAGGATCCCTGGGAAAGACAGACAGAGAGATGGTCCTGTTTAGAGAGAACATCCTTAGCAGCCGGACCAAAAGAACCGTGTCCTGAGGTTTGGTTCCACCCTGCAGCTTCTACAGAAATGAAAACTACAGAGCTGGTTGATGTTGGCTTGTCTTCAGGTGGGTCTCTATGCGGTGCTGATGTTGCTTTTCTGAAATCAGCGGATGCTGAGGTTTTTACAGCTGCACATTGGCTTCATGACTCCATGCGTCTCCATTCATGGGTATGAGAACAAGACTGCAAATATTCTCTTTAAAGTTTCTGAGAAATAAAACTTCTTGCTACAGAGTTCAAAGGTCTGACTGTTCTGTGTGCTTTTCTCTTCTTACTCTGTCAGTCGCTGGTAAACACGTCCACTTGCTGCCCTCTGGGTTCCACCTCCTCCTTCACTCCTCCCCCACCATAGCACACATCACAGCCACACGCATCCCATTCTTAGTCCACTGATAGTTTTACACTGAGGTTAGAGCACCACACATACAAACACACACAATTTTGAAAAAAACTTTCATCTTTCACTTCATCTCACTTTAGAAGCTGTTTTATCAACTTGTCTGTGTTGGAAAAATTGAAATGACCTAAATAGAATAATTTATTATTGTATTTCACATCTTATCCTTTTCCTAAAGGCTTTTTATTTCTTGAAAAAGGATACTTATAATTATTTCTTGAATGCGTATCTGTAGTATTACTGCAGCTTTTCCTACAGGAGACTTGAAGGAACTCAGTGAAAGCCCTATTAATCAGATCAAATCCCCCACTGCATTAGCAGGTTTGGTAGTTTGGACCCCTAAAGCTTGGAATGGTGTTCTCACGGGAATATTAGCGCAGCTCATTTCTTAACCAACCAAATATCTTTAGCTCTAAGACCCTCCAGTTTTATATAGCCCAAAATAATGAGTAGGATTTACCTACGTAACTGAACAGAGGGCCTCATTCACAACAAACTGTAGTCGTTTACTCAAGGCAGATTGTTCAGCTTCTCAGGTCCTCTCAAAATCTCCAACGTGTCTATGTGGCCCAGCACCTGAGGACGCAACATATATGGCTAGTGACTCTATTGCAGGTCTGCAGATCACAGCGTGTCCTGACGTGCCCTGCAGCATATCAACATAACAACACAGAGCTGTCCGCTGAGCCGAGGCCACAGGGGCTGTTTTTGTTATGGGTGATACTCTGTCAGTGCAAGAGAATCGAAACACCTTAAATTTATTTCACATTTTCTCAGTTCAAAAGACATTTCAGTGTTCACAAAAAATTGTCCATGGATATTTTTTGTTTTTCTACAGATAAAAACCTGAAAAGTGTGGTGTGCATTTGTATTCAACCTGTCAGAGTCAATAATATACACTGAAGGTGGAGATTGGGTTCATGACTTTAGACTGGGTTGCATAAATTTTTTTAAATCTGTGACTTAATATCGACATTTACACCACTTAAATTTTACTTCCAACAGTTTTTTTAAAAGTAAATTCATATTTTCACCAAATTCAAAAATTTAAAATACCTATTATTTAAAAAGTTTACACCATCATTTCATTTTAAGGATTTGTTTCAGTCAATTTAATCCTAATAATAGTTTTAAAAAAAGGTTAAGAAAAATTCCCCATAACTACTTCAAAGTACTCAAAAAAAAAAAAAATAATAATAATTCAACATGCGGAAATTAAAAGAGATTACCAAGATGGAACAACCTTTATCTTTTTTTGACATTTGAAATTGCATGATGAACTGTTGGAGGTCCTTTCTTTTGCTAAAACCAGATATGTCCAGGGGCACTGATTTCATTACATCTTGAGATTAAAAAAAAAAGGAAAAAAAAACATATGGTAATTATTTAAATTTTAGATATAAATCCACTTTGTTAAAAAAAAATAATTTCCACTTTCACCGTGCAGCCTGGAACACTGCATTTACGCCCTTGGTTCTGGCTCATTTTCAATAGAGAAACTGCCTGCTTTGTATTTCTTGTAGTAGTAAACTCAACTGTAAGCTAACCAGCTAAACTGGTGTCTTACATCTACCTCTATTCATCTTCTTTGGCCAGTGAACCGCCGGGCTGGTCTGTATGTCAATTTGGGGGTGTGACGAAAGTACAGGCCAGAACCAAATAAGGCAACATCCCTGAGTTTACGTCAACTCGGGGCTTCGTTTGGATTCACCCGTTTTATGGCGGAAGCTTAGAATTGTGAGATTTGCAGAGAAAGGAGGTGTTGATGGGGTTTGAACTTCTCTGTACGTCCATTTCACCCACTGAACTAACGTTATTCATCTATGACAATGTAAACTTCTGAGTGAAGACCTTGATCGTCCAGCACAAAGATAGAGCTATGATGACATATTCATTAAATATGTACATAAAGTAAATAAATTGCTTATGTTGACAGAAAAAGCTTGTTTTTTTTTTTTTTTTTATCGGTATCTTTATGTGTGTTCATCTTTCCTGTGAGACCCAAAACCCTGACCACATCAACCATCTGCCTCCAGCAACCCTGACTCGACTTTCCAGTGTGAGACTAAACTGGGAATCACCACGGATAGACACCACCCATTTAAATCCCTCAGAATGAATCTTCTCAAACGAGGGAAATCCCCTCTACCCCCTCCTCCCTTGTGAATCTGGCAAAGTCAAAAGGTCAGGTTTAAAAAGAAAGGCACATCCTGAAAGATGGTAAGGATACTACAAACCCCGTTTGTGAGGTAAATCATTTCATCTCTAAATACAGAATTTAAAAGTGGATTTATTTTTGCTCCCTAAAAATTGTGTAAAAAGTATCTGAGAGGTTAAGCCTCAGGCTGACCACTTCTATATACGTAATTTTTTGTGCTAAAGTTGCTAAAAACTGCAGTGAATGCTGACTTCTTTTGCTTCTAAAACCACAAAAACAATCTTGACAGAGACAGCAAGCAGCAGAAAATGACTCAAAGTGCTGAGGCGAGGAAGAGGATGAAAATAAAGAGTAGGGAAGGCTGAAGCATGTGGAGCTCACCACAATCTTTTTCTGGCTACTGTTGTTCTTTGCAGTTCACCACACAGTACTCAGCATGACCACAGCTGGCTATAGACCGGTGCAGGACAGAGTACAAGCGAACAGCTGCATGCAGTACCAGTATGCCATCTCTAGGGGTCAGTGTGTTCCTATCCCATAAAAAAAAAAAAAGACACTCCACACTGGAGTCAAACTATATTGGGGATTATGCACTTCATTGCATCATCTGCTAAAACTAGTGATAAATCACATCAAGCTATAAAATAATAATAATGAATATCAAAAGAGAAATTATATATATAAAAAAAAATGTTCATCGAAAATATATTAAGATAAAACATCGATAAACACTCCTTTATTGTATTTGGGTAAAAAAAAAAAAAGTCCAAAGGAGTGCCACCTTGTGGTTCTTGCTGTCTCTCTCTTAACATTTAATTCCAGGTTATTTGGATTTTGTGGGTTTATAATTAAATAGTTAACAGGAACTTACAACTTAGATTAAAAACAGATACACTTTTATAAAATATTGCCAGGCCTGGCATGTTAATGTGGGCTGGATGGGCATTGATGTGGTGCCTCACAGTTACCGTCTTGTAAGAAACCAATTTCCATTTGGGCGGAACTTGTTAGTCTACAGTACTGACAGGTACTGGAACAATTATATTGTTTTCATGATCCACTTTTTCGCACAGAAACATATTCTACATTGATCACTAATATGACAAGGTAGACAATCCCAACTGGGATCCAATTTTCATGCAATTCCCTGCCCAAACGTTAAAGTTTCTTTGATAGGTAACCATAGAAACCCAATCTCCTACTTTGGGCAGAGACTGCTTATTTGCAGCAAACAAATATGTATTTCCTGTGGTTTAATAAATACTCCATCAATTATGATGGAGTATTGCAGACTTTATTCCAAAATGTTTAAAGTAAAAAAAAATAAATAAAAAGATCTGTAAAGCCTATTTAAAGAAATTGTTTTTTGTAGTAATAAACCAATCTATTTTTTTTTCTGATATTTTTTCAGTTTTTCTTTACAGCTGGCCTGCCAGATCTAATATTGACTGAATCCAACATTTTCTTCTTAGAACATAATAAATATGTTTGAACACAGGCTGCAAATTGATAAAGCAAAAGCAGCATTAGTTGCCTATAACTGATGTTTTTTTTGTAATGTAGTATCTCTAAATAACAGTAAATAATAAAAAAATAAACAAGAGAGAGATGTTTTCAGTTTTGAAAGAAGATAAAGGAAAAATTCTCTCTATTTGTGCATCAAACCAAATCTAAGAAAAAAAAGGACATATGATGGTTTCAATTGCCAGCTGACTGAGCTGTGCAATATGTAATTAAAAAGTAGAATAAAGATTGAAATGAGCTACGAGTTAGACATCCTCCCAGCACTGATCTCTCTTTGTACCCTATTCTTTTCCACAAACTTTGCTGTTGCCCCCCTCCTCCTGTCCTGGTGGTCCTCAAGCTGCCCATAGAGGTCAACAAAAGACAGACTGGCCAATAAGGAGCTAGTGCACCATAAGGTCAGGGGCCACAGGTCAGTCAGCAGCATGAGGATTGAAAATCAAGATCGACTTACTAACCGGTTATAGTCTTATATAAAAGCAAACTATGATTTGTTTTTAAACTTTTACAAAGGCAAATTAGTGGATTTAAAGGCTCTTAATATTTAAAAAAAGGAGGTAAAACATCAAGTCTGATAAGTTGTGTTTATGCAGCATCATCCAGTGAGAGTGTAATGCTGCTTACTATCCAGCCACCTGCAGAGGCTGAATTCCACCATGTATGTCATCAGCGTATGAAATGGATCCAGCATGGAGGCACAGAGATGAAGAGAGAGCAGACAAAGAGTTCAGACTAATCTGTGATCAAACCTACCACACCCTGGCTCACAAAGGTACTCAACTGCTGGGGGCCACAGGCACGCACAGGCGCGCGCACAGAGCTGGCTTCTATCAGATACAGTGTGCTGTAAACTGACCCCAGAGACAGAGAGATGGGAGGACATGATGAGGGATGAGGTGTGTTTGGGTTCTCTCTGAAGTAGAGCTAACCCCCCCCCAAGGGCTCTGTTTACAGCCTCCCCTATCTTCATCCAGCTCTGAATGGTCTCCCTTTTCTGATGGAAAGCCGTTTAAAAGCAATAACAAAACAATGTTATATGTGTTTTTTTTATTAGTTTTCCGGATATTTTTATCAAGTAGTAACAAGATTAATTTGCTAATCTGAAAACAGATGCTAGGCTCCTCTTAGACAAAAACTGCAAAGCAAGAGGATGGAAAATAATTAACATT